GGGCTGCCCGGGCCTGCTCCCTGCGCCCGCCGAGGGGAGGAGGAGGGAGCGGGAAGTTCCCCAGGGCGGCGGGAAGTCACGGTGTGTGCCCGCTCCTCCTTCCCTCCTGCCCCGGTGCCCGCGGTGCTGCCCTCCTGCCCCTCGGGAAGGGGCTCCAGGGCCTGCCCGGTGCTTGGGCTGCAGGGAACGGAATGGTTCCTCGGCCTGGCGGGGTTGGAAAATGGAAGCTGAGTTTGAATGATGTGGGGGTTGTGTCTTCTCTCCTGCCCGAGTGGGTCTGTGTTTCCGTTTTCGCCTCTCTAAATGCACGTTCGTCACGAGTGTAACAGTTCCTAGGGCTTTTGGACTCTTTGTGTTGGGTTTGGGATGTGCTGCTGGCAAGACCAGCAGGTAGAGCTGTTTTCAGGTGATTAGGTCAAGATCTGCTTGGACTGACCAGCCAAGAAGAGTGAGTAAAGTACTTAGGAGCAGGAATTAAGAGAACTTTTAGAGTCTTCCCTCTTTGGTTATGTGCTTGTGCCTGTAAATTGGTTTCTGCAGTGCTGGTGAGTATTTCTGATTTCAAGTGATGTTTTCCAGAGCATAAAAGAGTGTGCGAGATCATAATAAACTCTCTAAACCAGTATTAACATGTTGGTAATTCCTAGGTGCTTGTAGAAAGGCTTGAGGGGCAGTTGTGTCTCCCAGTATTTCTCTAAGAGTGTTCTAGTCACTTCTCAATAAAAGGATTACTTTTTTAAAGACAAATTTTAACAAAATAATCTGTTTCAGGAATATGAATCAGTTTTATTTTGGGACTCATTTGAAAGTATATTTAATTTATACATAATTCACACCCCCTGGTCGTTCTGTATGGAAGTGTTTCCTGCCACAGTCAGTTAGTGTGCTTAGACCAAAGGTGACAGGGAAGGGTGACTGGCTCTGGAGATGTGCTTGGGAGCTGCAGTAAACAGTGTTACTTCTTTGTAGTGTCGTGGGTTGGCTCAGGAATCCCTTTGGCTGTTGTGAATTCTGCCATGATGAAGACGTGGCAAGCAGAGCACAGGGCTTGATACAGTAACGCTGGTGGCAAGTGGCTTCAGGCCTGAAGCCAGCGTAACATGCTGAAGGCTCCAGAACAGGCTAAACCAAATTAATGTAGCTCTAATTAGCAGTAACGTATTGAAAGCCCAACTCAGACCTGCTAATTCGCTGCTGTTGAAGTTCAAAGTTAATTTTGGTATGTTTGAGTTGGTGTTCTGTCAAAATAGTTTTAAAAGCATGTGCATGCAGCTGGGCAGTATTCTGCTTTTGTTGACCTGTACTTTCACCAGTGAGCCCAGTAGCAGCTGCTCAGTTAGGAAGAGAAAACCAGTTGCCTAAATCCAGTTTGTTAGGTGTTTGTTGGAGATGTAATCAGGCATGGATGTTGGAGGTGATGCTGTTTCTTTTGAGGAAGGTGTTAAAAGATCTTTAATGAGAGAAAGGTGGCTAGTTTGTGCTGTGTTGAGGTACTGTTGTTAACTTTTGCTCTCCCTGTGTGCAAAAGAGAGCCTGCCTGGCAGGCTTCTGGCTTGGAGCTTGCAGGATTTGTGCCTTCAAGGTTCCCCAGAATTTTAGGTTTTAAAGGGAGAAGGGGGAGCAACAATAAGGTAAGAAATTAGGAACCAGTGTGTCTTTGAGTTTAACCTGAGAGGAGCAGCTGTGGGGCCTGTAAAAAGCGGTTGGTTCTGGCTAAGACAGATATTGGACATCATAAACTTAATTGTGTAGAAAATCTACTTAGTGTTCCCTAGGGATCACAAGCACATGATTGTGCTTTTAAAGGGTCGATGTATTTAAGCTTACAGGAACTGAAACTTCCAATGAGTCTAGAAAAATAGATGGAAGCTTTAGATAACACAATTATAACAACATTACTGCTACACTGCTTGTCACTCTGCTGTCTGAAATAAAAACAAATGAGCTGTGTTCATTCTCTCATTCTTTGTGAGCTCTGTTGAAATTGCACTCCCAGCTGTGAGAGCACAATAAATTTGTCAGGATTACTAATTCAGTCTGAGGTTCTGGAAAAATAAATAAAAATAGACTAGACAAAAGAGGACAGAAGGGAAGATGAACAGCTAGAAAGGTGTTTGAGCCCTAGAGTATAGGGACTGATAACAGCACAGGTATAAACATTTAAGTTAAATAATACAATGGAAGTGGTTGGAGGAGAGAGAAATCCTACAGCTGAGGGAATTTCAACATGACTATGGATATAATATGCGCACAAACAGAGGAGGGAAACATTTGCAGAAGTAGACACAGAAAGCTCTGGAGGTGCCTGCTGAAAGTTAAGAAGTCTCCCTCATCCCTCCAGCAGCTCTGGGAACCTGCCTATGGCACATGGTTTCAGATTTGATTCCAACCACTTTCTTTTCCTGAACTCCCTTGTATTCTCCTCAGTGCCTGGCTGATGAGCTGCTTAGGATTGTTTTCAGGGCATTACAGGCAGCACTCCTCTGTGGTGGTAAGAGTTTCAGTCTGGGTTTAAAAAAAAGAAAAAGAAAAAAGAAATACAGTCTGTTCTCTTCCCAGCCGTGGTTGCTGTGCACGTGGGGTTACAGAGCTGGCTGCTAGCTCGGGAGCAGCAGTGTAGGAACAAGGCTGTGCTTTACTTGAGTAGTAAACACTGCAGCAGGATGTTTGAATAGGTTCTGAGCTGTCTTTTGGAAGTGTTTGTGCAGGAGATTTTAATGCTAATGGCTATTTTTCTAAAAATTTTGGTTTGGAGTCATCAAACTGTTTACTTATGAAGCCTGCTGAGCATTTGTTTGCACCTCAAGTACTTGTGCCAGCAGAGACATGAGACAAACTTTCCTTGAAAAACAGACGCCTTGCACTCTACACAGAAGTTATCCTACAATTCCACAGCCCGTTTCTCTTCCCTTCCTTCCTAACCCTCCCTCTTTCTTTTTTTTTTTTCTTGAAAACTTGTTATCCTCAATTCTGTTCTTTTTCTGATGTTCCAAGAAAGGCAGAAGAGAAATCCTGCATTTCTCACAAGTAGCAGAAAATGTGCCTTAACTGTGAATCCAGATGTGCCCTTCTTTGGGTTTATTTTGAAAAGGAATTTTTGCACAGAATTGGACTCGATAAATTCCCTTTTAGTTCCATGCATGTAAACAAGATATATAGGATGAATATGAGATGTCTCTAACAGCAGATATTACTGGCTATGGATGTTGTCATGCTGACATTGGAGGAGTGAGAACTTTCCCAGTGTTTGTGTGAATATTTTTCACATGTACGTTGTGTGAATCCCATTGCCAGGTTCCAGTGTCATGCATGTTTTTGGAGCAAAAAAGGTAGCTTACATTGAATTTTTGGAAGCTTGCACTTGAAGCATGAAATGAATGGTTGCTAAATGGAGAATGAGCAAATTATAGCTGTCTAAGGAATGTGTGACCTCCCCAGGAGCTCTTCTGGCGCAGACAGGCAGCAGCGTGGCTCTCTTGTATTGCTGAGTGAAGTAACAAGGTCCTACTTGACAAGTGGATTAAGAGACACTGTCCTAATGAGTCAGGCCAGAAAGTAAAACGTTTGTATTTTAAATAGGTGAAATAATAAGACTAATCTAAGGCATATATCCATATCCAGAGCATCTTAATACAGCTTTATTTCCTTCTTCCCCCAGTCAGGAGTTTCTTGAGCACTTTCTTGCTTATCTGCCAGATTTTAGGAAAGGTTTGGGTGAGGCTTGGGAAATATGCTTGCACTGAAGTTTTCTTGTCTCCCTCCCAGCCTGTGCCAACAGCACTGGCTCAGGTTGACCGTGAAAAGATCTACCAGTGGATCAATGAGCTGTCCAGCCCAGAGACACGGGAGAATGCACTGCTGGAGCTGAGCAAGAAGCGTGAGTCTGTGCCTGACCTTGCCCCGATGCTGTGGCACTCGTTCGGCACGATCGCAGCACTCCTTCAGGTGAGTAGAACCATCTTCATCCCGTGGTGCAGCACCAGCACATTGCAGAGCTTATGCATCTGTCCATGGGGCAGATCTGGGAGGCACTGGTGAAGTTATGGCCGTTGCTGGGAGTATGATGTGTGTTGGGTCATGTAGTGAGGGAAGCTCGTTTGCCATTAATCATTGCTAGCAGGGCGATGTGTGCAGACACTAGGATTTCTAATCAGATAGCTTACATAGCTGGAAGGGGAACAGGCAAGTTCTTGGGTATGGGCTCCCTGTGGATCATGTTCTACTTATTTTCATACAATGTCTTAGCAGAGACACAAGTCTTACTCCTAAGGACTCCGGTTTAATCTGTTATGCATGAACTTGAGCACTCCCTGGTCAGAAGGTTGCCCTTGCAGGGAACCTGCTGGAAGGTCAAAATGGGAGTGCTGCTCACTGCTCCATAGATCCTTGCCAGGGAATGTACCTGCATTTCATGTGAAACCAAGCTGCTCAGCTTGCTCTGGGCAAACTACAGCTTATGACTGGCTATCTCTCATCTAGTCATTTATTTTGAAGAAGGAAAGAAAAGAGTGCAGGATTGACAATGCTGCTGTTCTCAGAGTGGCCGGGAAATAAGTGAAGAAAATTAGATGGGAGCTATAGTTGGAAGCAGGCAGATTGCTGAATTGCATTTCTGTCCCTCAGCTGCTTCCCTGCATTGAGTTAGCAGAGTACCAGCAGATACAGTATGAATAGAGTGGCTGTGCTTTTCCTCTAAGCTGAGGAACAGCACTTCTTCTCCATCTGGAAGCTCAAAAGAAAGCAGTCCCTACACTAGTAAAGAGCCAGGAAATGAAATTAACCCTTTTTACTGAAATGAAGGTTTAAATGCATTCCTGTGACCCCTTGCAAATGGACTCTTGCACGATCAGCGTGGTGGCTGCCATGTAACTTCAACGTGGTGATTGGTGAAAAAAGACTGTCATCTCCTGTCACAGTTCCTTGCCAGCCAAGTGCTTTGGTGCAGCTTTCTGATGTTTTTCTCCTTTAACTTTTCTTCATCTGTTCATTTTTAGGAAATTGTAAATATTTATCCCTCAATCAATCCTCCGACTTTGACAGCCCATCAGTCCAACAGAGTCTGCAATGCTTTAGCTCTGCTGCAGTGTGTTGCTTCACATCCTGAAACGAGGTGAGTGTTTCCAAGTGCCTGAGTGTCCCAAGGTGTTGATGTTGGCAGCTCAGCTTGATTCCAGGAGAACATAAGCTCTTTTTTTTTTTTTTTTTTTTTT